ACTTAATTATCTTGACAGTTCGTGAACAATCTCTAACGCGAGTCAATTTTAAAGCAACTACTTTTTTGGTAGCTAAATTCATTTTAATGCGATGTTATCATCAGCGAATATGAAAAATATTTCTTCACAACTATTTCTGAATTGCTGTAGCACGCGTCTCCGTCCGCGCGGTATTAAAAAAAAATAGTAGCCTATTTGTTCTACCATAATATGTACTATATCTATGCCAAATTTCAACGGGATCCGTTCAGCCGTTCTGGAGATAGCTTCAAATATCCATCCATCCATCTAAACATTCGCATTTATATTATGAGTAAGATTTGTTCATTAACTCCATATCACTATCCTTATTCCACTCTATTCCAGTTTGGTGCATCATATTTTCATCAGCCAGATCGATCCAGAATTTTTCATTACATCCTCTCCATACGTCCTTCACTAGGCCTTCCTATGACAGGTATGGATAGGCCAGGCCGTAAGACTTCACAGTCTCACAGAGAGATTCGTAGACTATGGCGCAAATCAGTGAGGCAACCGTATACCTTTTTTAATCTACGGTCCACTGTACCTTCTATAAATATTCTACACAGATAATGCGCCTATTTTAGGTAGATACCTTCTAAATAGTGAATAAATTATCGCTGTAACTGGAGATAAAAATTATTTATGCCTTCACAATGTCTATACAAAATATTCTGAGAAGTGTATTCATCAAGAAAATTTATACAACCTAGATAATGTAAACAGTACCTGGATAAGCATCTAAACATATTGTAAGGTAAAAATGTAGGTCACATGTGGTAAAAGTATGAATAGGTTAGATCGATCTGTGCGCATACATAACTGACAAAGGATAATAAATATTTAAAGAAAACTTACAACACAGTATCTATATAAGAACGCTATTATTACAACAAGCCATAACTCTCTAAGTAGAATACAAGTAAAATTACGACGTTTAAAATATCATAGGTAATAGTAAAAGTCACTAAAGCAGTATATCCCAACTGGAAGATAATAAATTTTCTTGTTTTTTTTTAATATTATAAGGTGGCAAAAGAAACATCTAAATTCCCCGAAATAACGGCGTGTTGTCCATAGACATCCGCAATTGCAGATGCGTTGTTAACATGCGCTGTCCTCCGACAAATCTGCTTTTTCTTCCCATTATTTCCTTATAGGAAAAGGGGATGGGGAAGGGGCCTGGTAGGGGAAGAGGACTAAAATTGGGTCTCCGGTACACATGACAAAATGCATCAGACGAAACGCAGAATTACTTCCACTTACACCTGTATTCTGTGTGTTCGTGTTATTTAAATGGGCGTGCCTGCCTTTGTGCTACAGATGTTGTGGGTTATACCACTGTTGCAATTATAAAGACTATCGTTTATTGCCAATTCCTTGTAATCTTGTTCTAGTTGGACTACTGACTGCTACGTAGTTAAATCATATTACATACTTCAAACGTCATTACCTCTTAAAACTGAGTAATAACACTAATGTTGAATTCTAACAATATTCTACCAAATTCTGAGTATCAAACTTCATACGTCTTGTTTTACGTCTTGTAAAATTTATATGACTGGTTAAATTAATATTGCGGCCGTAATGATCGGCGAGTCGTTACAGTGCGTTTAATTACTCTATTGACGCAGATATCTACGTTTGTACGGATGATCGTAAATCTGTAGGAAATAGTCGGTTCCGTTCATATAATGACCGTAAAAATTACAAATACACGTAATTCTGACAGTCAGAATTGTTCAAAGTTTAACATTGCTGTTTAACAAGCAATACATTCTTGCATTTGATTTATTTAAACGTATTATGAAAAAAATACATGACACTAGTCGTTGCCCCTGACTCCGTCCATGCGGAATTAGACAGTTACCGATTCTAAGATCAGTTAAGACGTTACGGAGGATTATAGTAATGAACTTTGTGATACGAGAATTTTATATATAAGATTACGTTTTCTTCTTCTTAATTAAGAACTTATTATTTTTATAAAATAAATTGTGGTTATGTGATGAATGAATGAATACATTTATCAAATAATAGCAGTACATTTTTTCATCTTTATTCTTAAAGTAAAACTGTAAAGGTATGCTTCCACTGTGTTCTGTCATCTTGTCTCGAGAATCCATTATTACGCTCGTGGTTGTCTCGTTAACCAGACACCAGACAATACGATACACGCTGACTCAGCGATCACATTAATGGTCTTAAAGTACATTCACATCGAAAAATTCAAAAAACTCGGTGTAAACAATGAGATAACAATCGATAGAGCTGGCGAATGGACATCAAGTGATTGTCCGTCGATCAAAACCGCTGTCGAAGTTCGTGTGTTACTTGTAACCGTATATACGGTTGAGCCATTAAAGTTCAATATTGGCTTAATTTGGTATGTTATACGCAAAGGGCGGACGGGGTCATTTTAAAGAACATCATACGATGTAAGAATAGACATGCCAAAATTGCCCTTAAAATACTTTTCGACATCGAATCGATTCGAATTTCTGACAATGAACTTGAACATTCGTTATGCTTGTCTTTTGTTTATACATTTTTTAATAACCAACATAAACATAGATTTGTCTTTTGATCGTGACTTTTTAGCTTTATCTATACCGTATTAACAGTTGTAGACGCTAGCAACAACATCTGTTGGAAGAATGGGCCGGCTCGCACAGTGCAATACCACGATCCACGACCATACAGGAGACAAGCATGAAGTGGAAGCAAAGCCGCGTTTTATCTGATGACCGTTTTCCGTGTCACCTTTTTTATAAGGAAAGGATTTGAAAGAAAACTGAATTTGACAGAAGGGACGCGTAGGACAAAACGCTCTTTCTCCATCGATTGAAGGTAGACAACGCATCTGCAATTGCGTATGTCTATGGACAGCGCTTTGCTGTTTCGGCGAATTCGACTGGCCACTAGTTCGTTTACAACCGTATGGTATAAAAAAGTATGCTTGTCAACATTCTCTTAATTTATAGATGTAACAGTCAATAGTAAGCGCTTGATTATGATTTGAGAGGCGAACGAAATTCACGTGTCCAATCAACATTTGTAACCGGCACATCTCACTCAATATTTGCGTCATAGTTTGATAACGTACGCATTTCAATTGTGCGATGGAAGAACTTGAATACGTTGCTTATTAAATAACGATACCGACTTCAATTAGGGTCAATGTTTGTTTAGAACCCAATTCTATTTAAATGAACACGAAATTTAGAATGCTATTCAGTGAATGTATACGATTGACAAGAATGTTATAACATTATAAGTTTAACCTAGAAATATTTTTTGTTAAGAAATATTTTTAAGCGTATTTGGAGGATTTAGAAATTGGACTAAATAAAATATTACGTAAAAAATTATCAGATTGCGTCTTTTTATTATAAGGAAAGGATGGGAAGTGGAAGTGGACTTTCCGGGTGAGAGGATGCGTGGAAAGGGAAAATATTTTCTTTCTGTGCATCCTCTCGTCAGTCGATTAAAGGCAATACATATGCAATTGCGTAAATCTATGGTAAACGGTTACTTATACTAGGTATTTCAGCGATATCAGGAGGCCGCTCTCTCGTTTGCCACCTTATGATATAAAAAAAATGCAAAAGGAAAGATAGATAAAATCCATTGGACTCCTTGAATTGACAAGGAATAAATTACAGACTCTTTCAAACGAAGAACAACATAAATCGTAATGGTATTAAATTCCTTGAAAGCGTGAATTCTCGATAGTGGCTAGATAGGGATGCGTAAAGTACAGTTGCGATAAATGCGAGTTGGGAGCGTGGAAGGCTCTCCCAAGGAGGCGACGTCGGAGTATCGATCACGCGCCGTATCATTAGATATCATTGTGATCTATGATCAATGTTGCGCCTGCGCACGCCACAGATTAGGGTTGAACAAACATAAAGGTAAACATAATATGTTTTGTGATGTTTATCTTAAATAACTATAATAATTAAATTAACATTTATAGAAAAAGTAAAAATAGAATGACAATGAATTATTTATTCCTACAATAAGTTATTTAAAGAAGGATATATATGTCCTTTTAAATTTTACTCTATACGACTACGATTACTTTTAACATAAATGTCATTGGTGAGAGGAAAATTGAATATATATAAAGAGAAAATAAAAAACATGGTGTATAGTTGCTATTGGAAAATTATCTGATCCCACCCCTATCGATTCGTGACATTGACAAATAAAGTTGTCTAGGATGCTTGACTGCAACTTCATTCAATAAATCCCACTGTCCTTAGGACTCCGTAAAAAATTGGGAATTCTCTCACGCTGCTTACGAAACTGTAACCGAGCTAATATTTTTCCGGACACGAAACTGGCCGCTTACAAAATTGTTTCATCCTATCTGACGTTTGTTTTTTTGTACACACAAAAGGAGTTATAAAATGGTTAGTTCATTTGTACGACAATGCTTCTTATCTTAATAGCTGTATCGGCCCTTATAATGAAACAATTAAGACAATACGGAACGAACAATAGAAGAAAAAAAAAGTAAATACGTCCGACATTAATCTTCTTCACGTGCTGGCTTGTTTGTTTTCCCGCGTCGAGCACTGATTCGATTTTTAAACTATAGAGGATTATTACAAGATGGACGTCTTTTAATTTTTATCTCGTCCCTTGTCCGTTAAAGGTTTTTGAATATTAATAGGATTCGAGATATTTATCTGGAGTACGCTTATATCTAACTTTGTACCGAGCGCATGTTGTATTCTTTCGGGTATTTCTTTTAAAGGAGAAAAATAATAATGAGCAGCAGGTCATCTAAGGGAATCGACGTTCATGTATATCCCTAATAGCAGAGAAATCGAATTTTTGTATTGTCATATTCTATCGATCAGGATCTAATTCTAAATCATTCTGGATTTTTTTACTGATGTTTTATTTGCATCTGGCAGCTAACCAGGAGCTGTCATAGGATTAGAATCATGTATTAACATGTGACATACCTTGTGGGGTCCCGAGGAAGACATTGTCGCTCCTGCACGGCCACACCGCCGCCGCACGTTCGAGAGCACGCGCCCCATGCACCCCACGTGCTCCAAGCGAACATTGTACTATTCGTTCCCATACTCTGCGTCCTTTCAACCTGTAACATGCAATTTGCAAATAATTTTAATTAGATGTTGCCCGCAACTCCGTCTGCGCGGAATTAAAAAACTCATTGATTAGCCTGTGTTCTACATCTATGCCAAATTTCAGCGAAATCCTGGCAGCCGTAACAAACATTATTCTGTTCATTTATCCAAACTTTCGTATTTATAATATGAATAAGTCATAGACAAAAGTAAGATTATTATTTAAATAGAAATATGAAACTCAGAGATAGACAACTCTTTCCTGGTATCACAGCAGATTCACCGTTTATTTTATTACCGTTATTAATTCTGTTTTTCCAGACTCGTTACATGTTTTTGAAGTGTAGTTCGGAACTTGAGAAAACATTTGAATTACGTCAAACAAGCTGGCTTACGTTTAAAAGGAAACAAATGGTGTAATTTCTTTGATGGAACGCCAACTCTGTTATTACCACGAACACCTCTTTGAATATATTCGGTTTATTTTCTTATTAACGTAATAATATAGCGAATTGTAAAACCTCAAACAACAAAATGAATTTGAATTTAAGAACGACGTTACCTTATAATAGCTGTCGCCCAATACTCCGTGTGCACGGAATTTAAAAAACTAATTTAAAAGACTATGTTCTATATCTATGCAAAATATTAGCGCAATCCATGTAGCCGTTCCAGAGATATCGTCTAACAAACATCCGTCCAAACATTCGCATTTATAATATTAATATTACTCAGGAATCGTATCATCATCTATCTGTCCTTATCCCACTTTATGTAGGGCACAAAAGTCATCCTTCGTACTATCTACATCTACTCATATCTATTTTTATGTTCTCCTAGTATCCTTGTAAGTCCCCTTGTTTTCGAATACTGATTTTTGTATTTAATGATTTTACTTACCGCCGTACCAACTTCAGTGCTCGTCAATAGTGCAGTTGTTAGTGGTTGCCTCGTGCAAACTGTGATTAATCTGAAACAAGACAATTTTATTAAAAAAAAGTAAAGGGTACACAAATATTAAATATTATAATTAATTTATCACTAACTAAGGTAAAATAGTATTTATGCAGGAAATTCATCAAGGTTGCTTATGAAAATTTACGTCTTCAAGTTAAAAAAAGAAATTGGCAAGTCAATCATATTTTTATAAAAACTTTTTGGTGACCTTAATTTAATGTTTTGAGCTGAATATAACCTCAAAATTCAAATTGCTTTTCACATTGTGATTTATCTATAAATGAATCGGTAACAGAACAATGGTAATAGCGAGTAAGGCGTAGACATTCTCTACTGTTATTAACGGGCTGTAAATAACTCTAGGTAACAAAGGGCCCTCTATACTAATCCGAGTGTCAAATGTAACCAATTAGCATTTCCGTCACAATCGGCGCTTGTTCTTTATGCCGCCGATAGAGGGCCCTTCTGAATACAGAGTAGGCGATAACATCGGGAAGGGCTAATGCCTTTATGAAATACTAAACGCCTCCAGGCTTCGAATAGCACGCTTTAGATTAGCAAACTGATTTATCGATCTGTATAATGGAATACAAATGTGTTAATTCATTTAATTTTAATTGAAATAGGATATAGAAGATATGATTTTTTTGGTTTGAGTTTTTGTTTTGATTTTCCTTTGGTAGATGTAAGCTCGAAAGTTAAGTGACTATCTCCCTAAAACGACTAGCCCCTCTTTATTGTACTCGCAGAACGCACCAGTTGAAATCGACTACTCTATATAAATTGCAGCCATGCTATCCTATTAGTGGAAATGGACATTAAGTTAGCGTAGTTAGGTTGTATATTCATAGTATAGTCCAACAGTCGGCGCCAACAGACACGGTCACGATTGGCCGTCATCTCACGAATGACAACGTTGATAAATCCTATTACGAAGCACTGAACCTTAGCCCTCATTCACACGGGCGTTTTTTCCACGCCGCATTAAAACGCAGCCTTGGCGACTCTCGAGCGACTTTTTAAATCACTCTTGTTCCGTTTATCCAGCACTCAAAGTGCAACACTGCGCGATAAAAAAACGTCGCGTTTTAAAACCACTGCCACGTGAACAGATAAATGGAAATGCTGTTGTTATTGAACGCTTTATTAACGCACGATAAAAAGGTACTCGTGTGAATGAGGGCTTAGGATTTACTGCATATACAAAGTTTAGATAAAGCTTAGCCTTGTAATATTCCCCTGGAACTTTACAATACTAACATTGGTATAAAATGCTTCGAATGTATATTTAGAGAAGAATAATATTCAAATAAAGGTACACATAAATGTTGTTAGTGAATTTTAATTTATTATATAGCTTTTGCTGAGAATTGACATCTTAAACTTTGGGCTAGAACATTTTAGACTTGTGCTATGGGGTCGCAAATATCAAGTCCTGTTATATGAATTTATTCAGTGCTAAGCTATTAATATTTACAGCGTCTATTACCATTGTATCGGTGTCCATTAAACCTGGCCGTTGGTATGCCAATAGGGCCGGCGCCTAATGCCGGATGTCCAGTTATGTTTTAATATATCGCCTCGCGACCCGCAAGCTAACACGTAAGCTAAAACTGCATCTTCAAGCCTTTGTTTCCATACGATCATTAAATTTATCTTATCTAAGCCGTTAACGTCACATTTGAATTTCGAACGAGTCTCACAGCTTCCTTATTTTGAATTCGAAATTTAAACTTAGCGAAGTTACCTTTGATAAGATCGATATCGACTTTAAATAATCTTCATAACTTTTATTTACAATTTACCTCTATATCTCATTCTTTTACCGGCCGGCACCAAGTGTCATCAGTCTTGTTCCATTAAAAAAAGATGCCAATCTGTTTCTTAACAGGTGTTGTTCCAGTGGAAACCGGTTAGTAGGTACTTTGTTGACAGTATTAGGTTAGGAATGACATCTGTAAAAATGGGTTATTTAGGACAAGTCATCGAGGAGTGTTCAGACACGGACGGTTGAGCAGTTGCGTCACCGCATCGACATCGACACACAGTAATCTGACGATAAATCACTCCCGTTTCTGGATCGGAATGAGATCACGAGTTCGAATTATACCGATACTGAAAGACGAGCCTAATTCCTTACCAATACGAGGAAGAATTTACTGTTTTAATCCCGAAAATTGATTTTACACTAAGTTTTTGTTTTGTCTCAACTGCGAGTTTGAGATTAGATTCTCAGGAGACTTTTTTTGGTTGTTTTTAAAGCTTTAGACGATTAAACGAATCATTTTATATGTACCTAAAGCTTAGTAAAAATATATAATTGTTTTGTACCATTTGTAATACGACAAGGTTCAATGAAAGTGACAAACTCGAATTAGCGGAATTTTGAAGTGTACCTCTGCTTGTTGTGGCAGGATGTGTAATTTCTGAACTGTTTTGTTAACACGTACAACTTACTACAACAAGATGTGCCAATGACTCATAGCGTAAATATTTATATGTAATATTAATACTAATTTGTACATAAAGGGTGTTTCTAAAGGGATTTAATCCTATTCGCCAGATTAGTTTGCCCGGTCGGCCTAACGGGATACACCTTACATATTTATCAAATATATTCCTTATGTAGATTTAAAACGATCTCTCATTAATTTATTATTTCAATAATATATTTTTTTTTAACATAAATGAAAAGACATGTCATTCTCTTTCTTACCATGTGTGAGCTACAAAATGGCGTCGCTTTTTAATGGTCAAAAAATTATAAAATCCAAATTAATTTTTAGTGGTGGTCCTGTTTTCTGTATGAACGTTATGACTATAATACTCTGCATATATCATAATATATTTTAGTTATCGAATATTTATTTTTTATTTTTATAAAATAAAAGACAATCATACTTTATTTAAATATTAATAAAAATTTAAATAGTCTTATAACAGTACAGCAAAGCGCGAGCGCTTCTAGGATCGATCTCACGAAGGTACTGTCAGGTTCAGAATACCGTTGTACGCTTAAAATAGCAACAGATATAACAATTTAAGAATAGAATACCTGCCTTTTCAGCATACTTCGAACGGCATTTATCGTGCTTATGAATTATTTGTTTATTTATTAAATTATGAAAATAGAATTAATATAACTGTACTAGTTGCTTAGCTCTTGACATTATATTTTACAAATACCGTGGAATCTTTTGAATTTACTTTATGACTTGGCACGTGACAGAAAGTTATTAGTTTTTCTGTCTGTTATTGAGATTTCTAGCTTACGGTTTAACAGATTTTAAAGAGATATGTGTAATAAGATTAGTATTCTTTCCCTACCTATCATAGGATAAGCCAATCTGTTTTTTTTAATTTGACTTACATTTGACTTTTAGTCCTATAAGAATTAAATCGACGCCATTCTTCTGAAAATGCAAAATTTAGTCTTCATTTTACATGGATTGATGGGTGCTTGTTTGTTACAAGATATCTCCGGAACGACTAAACGGATCTGGATAAATCTGCACAGACGTAGAACATAGTCTGCTACATCATAGGCAACTCATTAAGTTTTTATTTTAATTCCGCGCATACGGAGCCGCGGGCGACAGCTACTACTTCATATTTTAATCGTGTTTATCGTTTGAATGGTATTAATCTATAGATGGTCTGACTCGAGTCGTGTTTCCGTTTGGAATCGCGCTTTATTGATTGACTATTAAAGAGTAACCTGATTATGTTCAATGAATTACAATTTATAATAGCTACAGAAAATATTTTGCCGACATTAACTCAATAAAAGTGACGTTATTAGAATCATCATTGTATTTTTGTTTGTTAGGAAAATATTTTAGTAAATTCTTAAAATCATAAAAGGAATGTTATAAAGAATTGATTTAAGAGAGAGATATTAACGGTGAGTACTTTGTAGTAGTTATGTCGTAATATTTATATATAATATGGTACAGAAAGTCTTTATGTTTATATTTTTAATTCAAAATTCGAAAAAAAGATTTATAAAAAGAACAAATTTGAATGCAACTTTTCCCAAAGAAAAACAATTGAGGTTCAAGTTCGCCTCTAAAGTAAACGTACGCCTGCGCAGGCGCCGGCGATGATGTTAAATGATAAATACAGGGCAGCCACACACGATCTCTATCATTGTTAAATACGTCAATAAGGTTACCCCATCGATCTATCTATTGACTACTGTTTTGAATAACAAACATCAACCCAAAATAAAAAAGAAACGTCGATAAAACACTATTTTTGGATCCACTGTTTCAATTGATTTAATGTTCTTTTTAACTCTGATTGTCATGAGACGTGATGTATAGAAGTAGAGAGTTATGTGTTTTATTTAGCTTAAGTGTAGGAAAAGATTTCATTTAGGGTAAATATCAAAACGTCACTTTTATTTAATTTGACATTAAAAATTAACTTGTCATTAAATAAAATTATCCACGATATTCACGAACATTGAATAATGGGCGTTTGTTAGAAGGTATGTGTCTCGAAAACGGTATAATAGATTTCGTTGAAATTTGAAATAGATGTAAAACATAGTCTAGAAAAATACAAAGGCTACAAATTAATATTATTTAAAATTAAAGATGGACAAAATCGCGGGCGAAAGCTAATATAATATATATCGTTTTGAATGTAAGTATTGTCAATTTGAGTCATTTATGTGTAAAATTACTTGCGTCTGTGTTGAAGAATTGTGAACCAAAATAAACGTAAAGATTTACGGGGTATAGACATTGAGTTATGGGGTTTAGGATATAATTTAGTACGTGTTGAAGTAGCATGATGCAATCGCAAATGACATCATAACGATTTGTACATGTCGCGACATCGCCCATCCCAATAACATAATAACGGAATCGACGTTCTTATTCACTATTGTCTTTGACGTTAATAATTTCATTGATCACAGCTCATAATATATGCGAATGAACGATATATCCTACGATTATCATTATTGTGTTGTATGTTCGTTTATCATAACTTCCAATGTGGGAT